ACACTCACTAAGGGCCCTTTCGAACCTTGAAATCGTCAAGTCTCCAATTTCTGACGTATAAAGTAGTTTTCCTTGTAGCATTTTCCATTCTGACCGGGTGGTCCTTCGCCCTGATCCTACGTTTATACCCAAAATTAACTCAGTTTTTCATAGGGCACAAGAGCTGATATTTCCTAATTTTTGTCCCAGACCATCCCAAGGGTCGGAACTACAATGGCATAGGTTTGATGTGAGGTGAGCATTGCGAATATATATTAACCGCACAGCGGCTTTCAGAAAAATGGAAGCCTTATTTGTGTCCTTTCAGCCCAACACTCAGGGATGCAAGGTCTCGCCTTCTACAATAGGCCGTTGGCTACAGGCCGCGATAGCGAAAATGTATCAGTCTCAATCACTGCAGGTGCCCAGGGGCATAACAGCTCATTCAACAAGGAGTGCCGCAACATCAGCAGCATGGGCCACACAGGCACCAATAACTGAAATCTGTCGAGCCGCAACCTGGACCTCTCCATCGCCATTCATTAGGCATTATAAAATAGATGTATTTGCATTCGCTGAGGCCTCCTTTGGCAGAAGAGTTCTGCAATGGGTCCACAGGGACCAAGAGGGGATTCCAGGCCAGACGGAGTCCCTCCCGTAGGACAGGCCAAGCTTTGGTATGTCCTACTACTGGATGCTCTGAACAGCTCATGGGAGAAAGGGCGTTGGTACTTACCTGACACGCCCGTTCTCTTTGAGCTGTGAAGAGCATCCAGCCCCACCCTTTTTCCGTCTGGTGGGGTCCTGTTTCAGCCAACGAATTGTTAGGGCATTGAGGACGAGGGCGTTTATTTCTCTCGTCTTCGCCAAAACTGGGGAACGCTGGGGAGGAGTCCCGTGGAGGAGGAGGAGCGTCCCACAAATTAAGCCCAGCCTAGACATGCAGAGATTGAAGCACCTCCCACTGCTGGATGCTCTTCACAGCTCAAAGAGAACGGGCGTGTCAGATAAGTACCAACACCCTTTCTCTGTTTTGTGCATTTCCAGTTGACAAATAAAGATATTTTCTGAGTAGGTAGTAGTTGGTAGGTGAAGAACATGAAATTATGCAAATTATAAGAAAGAAAGTAATTGATCAAACAACCTGATTGTAGCTGGTAGAAAACTGGTCTAGATAGAACGAGATGGTACTTTCCCAGCATTTTACTCTCTGTCCTTTAATGTTTTTTAGTTACTGGTACTTTAAATAGGAGTGAGTGAGAAATTTTATGTCAGTATAGATCTGTGGCAGAAATAAAAGCTCTCTCACACTTTCGTCGGGCTAGAAGGAGGTAAAATTTTAAAATTTTGTTGCACATTGTACATGTCTTAATTTTTAAAAGTTGGTTTTAGATTTAGTGAAGGTAGCTGTATAGACCAAGGACTGTCAAGTAGGAATTTTTTTCCTACTGAAAATTGTTCAGAATAGAGCAGAGCAGAGCAGAATAGAATGGATACATATGCATGGCAAAAAAAAAAAAAAAGAATCCTACAAGTTTTTAAGATGGGTGGTATAAGGAACAAAGCTATTACAGAATCTAGTAGTCCTGCTGTAGATACTTTAAAACCTCCTCCCAGAGGGGAGCAACAGAAACAGATCATGAAGTGGGTGTGTGGGGTCTCTAACAATGCTTCGAGCTATAAGCACATAGCGCTTAAGTAATATCCTGAATAACGGGAATCAAGCTTTCTATAATCGTCTCAGCTGTCCTTACCACTCTCAGTATGAGTTATCAGTATGAGTTTATCTGAGCTGTCCTTACCACTCTCAATATGAGTTTATCTGAGTTTGAATATGTTTCATATATTTTTGCAAAACTTAAATGCACTAAATCTGAGTTTAACTTTAAAAATAGAATTTTGAGGAAGGTGGTTTATGTGACTCATTTCCTAAATTTTAATAGGGAGTGTACACTGTTGTTTCCCATATGTATATCCTAACATACATCATACTTACTTGGACAAATGTGTTTCTGTATGAGTTTGAAATCTATATCAAATAAATTTATAGTATAAATTTATAGTATACCATTTATACTATAGACAAAATAAAAGAGATCAGATAAAGGATGGCTGTAATTATTATATTAGAATAGTGCTTATTTCTCTTCTTGATTCCTTAGCTTTTATTCACATAAAATATGAATATGAATGATAGCTAAGGAACTCAGTAGACTTATTTGAATAAGGAGTGAAAAAAAAAGAAAGACAAGGGGAAAGGAATGCAATCGCTATAAAACAAAAGAAATTTATATATTGACTATATAATCTTACAGCCTTAAATCAGTCATTTGCAATGTATTTCTGCTTCCAATTAATTTGTGGAGAGTAAAATATTGTTATGAGACTTAGCTGCCATTATGGCTTGGGCAAAGCATCACAGTGTTGGTACAGTTTTCATGAGACTCTTAGATATGCATGACTAGGAAGCCATTACATCACATTTATCTATTTGGATGAGGGACACATTAACAGACTTATGAATATTCATGATGTCTGGTTAATTAAGTTAATTGTTCAGCAGGAGTGCTCATACTTCGAAGGACATTTCCCTTCACAATTTCTGTCTGATACCTTATCAGTCATGCTTTGCGTAAACCATAGATACTTTTGTCTTTATTCTTGCTGTTTGGTATTCTTGGGAATGCAAATTGGTTAGCAAGTTAATAATCTTAGTGTGAAGCAGAAAGGATTGTAGATTGCATCACTTCTTGGAATATGTGTTTGGAATATGGTCTGAGAAAAAAGTACCACATTTTAAATATTTCTATGATAACTATTAATAAGTAGTTCTTAATACTGTTACCCAGAGCTATCACTAGGAAAATAGGAAATTTTAATTCTCCAAAGGAATAATAGCATAGCAATAGTATTTAGACTCATATACCACTTCATAGTGCTTTACAGCCCTCTCTAAGCAGTTTACAGAGTCAGCATCTTGCCCCCAACAATCTGGGTCCTCATTTTACCCATCTCAGGATGAAAGGCTGAGTCAACCTTGAGCCTGGTGAGATTTGAACTGCCAAATTTCAGGCAGCCGGCAGTCAGCAGAAGTAGCCTGCAGTACTGCATTCTAACTGAAACTAAAGAGCTGAGCCATGGCAGTTCTTAACTTTCAGTTACCTGTCAAGCCTTTACTTTCAGGTTCCTGTAAAAACTTACAACTGTAAAGATTTTATTTATTTATAATATACTTATATATTTTCAATACCAAATAAAAGTAAATCAAGAGAATAGTCATTGCAATGATAAATAAAACTGATGCACTACTAAAACTCTTGTTCTGTAACCTTTAACTGGGTGAAATATATCTTTGCAAAACTTAAATGACTAAATCTGAGTTTAACTGTAAAACTAGAATTTTGATGGAGGTTTTTTATATGACCCACCTTCTAAATTTTAATAGAGAGTATTCAAATGGGCTAACTTACAGAAGGCATCCATGATTCCCAAAAGAATGAAATTTGAGAAATTGTGGCTGCTTTAGTGCTACTGGGCTGCTACTACTTCAGCTCAACTGGGCTGTTGCTGCGGTCATGTGATGCTCATTTTGAATGTCCCACCATTCTTGCAATCCCTCACTCTCTCCCCCAACCAGCAGCAGCCACCTACCTGCCAATTGGGAAGGTAAGAGGAGGAATACAAAAGGAGGGAGGGATCCCAAGTACCTTCTCAGCCCATTTCACCTCTCTGCATGCCCCCTCAACTTGTGCCATCCCATGCCCCCTCCTTAGACTGGGTGGCACCTTTCACATATCTCTGCAAGCTCCCCACACCCTTCTTGACTTGCGTTGGCCCATGTACACCCTACCCTATGGCACCCCTTGCATACATATCCTTCTTGAACCATGTGGTACCTCTCATGTATCTTCATGTACCATTTCTGATGCACACTTCCTTAATCCCTCCCCTACATGGCACTTACTTGCTACTGGCCTTGGACTTGTAGTTTCCTTTTGGCTTTCCCACTGGTTTGTTCCTTACAAGCTTTTCACAAGTAAACAAATGGGGTAGCCGACAGGAATGATGAGGAAGGTGGGGAGGGAGGGAGGGAAGAAGGAAGGATTTCCAATGCTCCCTGTCAGCTTTCTATAAGGAAACTCAATGGGGAAGTCGGCAGGAAGGCGGAAGTCCCTTAACTCCAATTGCTTTTTTGGCCACCTACGATCATTTTGTTTCTCTGTTAGGTACGTTAGGCAATGTCTCCTAAAAGATAACTCAATAGGACAAGGAATATTTAGTAATGTAGAATTCTCAATCTTTGCTTAGAGAAGAAAATATATGAAATAATTAATTAGAGTTTGAATCAGAAGTACAAATACTTTGTTAATACATTACAGTAAGGTGTTATTTACTTAATTGGTGAACAATAGCTGGCTCACATAGTGCAATATGTCAGACTAATAAATAGGCCAAAATTGCTTAAATTGGGAATTCAGGGGTCTTGACAACATAGTTTACTGAATCCAAAACTCAAATAGAAACTATTTCAGTACAATTACCCTGACTTTATTAAGCACTCTTATTTGTATACTAAGCAAAATCATTATTCTATTTAGTGTTATTAAGAGGCTAGACTCTTGGAACAGAAAACAAATCCTACTAAGCAGTTATTTAAAAATCAGGAAGACCAAATCTATTGTATTTTTTTGGTTTAGTTAGTGCCGAAATGGAATAACAGATTTTAATAGTGTCACCTGCAAAATCAAGATATAAATGAAGAATGAATTCATATGGTCAATAAATTTAATCTGATAGTTGAGTTTACAACTTTGCCAATGTTGAAAACGTATGTTTATACAGAAGCAAGCCATAGTTTATTAAACCTTTCTTTACTCTAATCTGGAGATATTTCTACATTTGTAAATTTTGTTTAACAATTCTTCATGCTGATTCAGAGAATTCATCATGAATATTCTCCTACACAGAAGTTTCACTTTGCTTTAATTTTTTTTGTTATTCTCTCTTTAATATATTTATAGGTTCCACCAATATTTTGGCACATACTCTGAATGGAATCCAACATATACAAACAGCAATATTGCATATAATATTGGGTAAGTATTGCACATCTGAAATTTTAGACAGGAATAAAATAATAAATATCCATCCTTTTTATACATGAAATAAACAGGATTATATCCAACGTTTGTCAAAAATTATGATTCAGATCTTCTGTAGGATGGAACAGGCTTTCTGGAATTCATTTTTATTTATATTGTGTGCTTTTAATTTATTGCAATGTGACAGTTGTATTGGGTGCTGTTTTTGTTGACTGAATATGTGTCTCATTTAAGTGCCATGTGTGCTGCGGTAGTGCCTTGAAGGATCAGGAGGCACACTCCTCTTGATTTATACAAACACAGGAATGCACTCTGTGTCTTGTACAAAATGGTGTTCTAGGATTTTGATCCTCCTGCTCCTGTGCAATTAACATACAATAGAGTTAGGAAATGAGTTCACTTATAAAATGTACATATACGTATATGTACATATACATATATGTGTATGTGTGTTTGTATTAATGCTACAATATTAGGGCATCTAAAGTCAGTGGATATGTGCACCTTCAGTAGCCCTTTCAAGCTACTTCGCTTTGGATTCTCTTCTATGTTTGGCTTTGGATCAAGGACTCTAGCCTTGGCTGAAAAGCATCGCTGGATTCCACCAAATCAGCGTAAAAATTTTGCTGTAATCAAGACCCTAGCAAACCTCAGGTAAGCTGAATTTGAAATCATTGTAATATTAATGTAGGAATATTTTAAAGTGAGTAATTATGCTATGCAAATTAGATTATTTGCATTCTAGTTTTAGCATTTCCCCAATATCTTAAATGACAATTTTACTCTGTGGTGAAGAGAAAGCAGCAGACTTTTTATGAGAAAACCAGACCACCGGAGCACGAGTGCCTGCAGATTTAGTGTCTGCTAAGCATAAGGCCGCTCTGAAGAAAATGGGGAGGGGGGGAGGGTTGGAGAAGGAGAAGGTTGAGGGAGATGGCAGATGCCAGAAGATGACAAAGAGAAGCCTACAGAGAAAGCACCTGCTGGATTATCGGGCCTCCATAAACAAACTCCCCCACTCTTCTGTGCTTCCTGGCTGGGACTCAGCCCACCACCCAGGCAGAGGGAAGAGGGCTGGTTCCTCATGCTGGAAAGCCTTACTTAGAAAGAAAGAAGAGACCAGAGGCTGTTCCAATAATGGCACTGCTGGTGTGAGAGCAGGTGAACAATCCTCAAACTGCTGCTGTCAGATCCGCTTAGTTTCTTGGTTAGATATTTTATTTTGACCGTTACTATGAGCAGTTGGTTTGCACTGATGAGGTTGGATCTCTTTATGTTTTCAAAGAATTGGGAAGAATAAACATCACTACATTCTCTATATCTTGGAGAGTTTGTTACTCACTAGTCAGTTTTTTTCCTCTCTGTCTACGAGGGTCTCTGCCACACAGGTTAACTGATAATGTTAAGGAGTAATTCTATACCCTTCTGTCTGTTCATGCCCATCACATTCTTTCTTTTTCAGTAAGTGGGATTATGTAGAGTGAGAAGTAGTGAGCTAAAGAAATTAAAGGCAGGAGTTAAGAAAAGAAAGGAATTCTAACTAAATGTAGTTTACAGTACTATTTACTACACTGCTCAAAAAAATAAAGGGAACACAAAAATAAGACATCCTAGATCTGAATGAATGAAATATTCTTATTAGATATTTTGTTCATTACATAGTTGAATGTGCTGACAACAAATCACAGAAAAATTATCAATGGAAATCAAATTTAGCAACCCATGGAAGTCTGGATTTGGAGTTACACTCAAAATTAAAGTGGAAAAAAACACTACAGATGATCCAACTTTGATGTAATGTCCTTAAAACAAGTCAAAATGAGGCTCAGTAGTGTGTGTGGCCTCCATGTGCTTGTATGACCTCCCTACAATGCCTGGGCATGCTCCTGATGAAATGGCGGGTGGTCTCCCGAGGGATCTCCTCCCATACCTGGACTAAAGCATCCCCCAACTCCTGGACAGTCTGTGGTGCAACGTGACGTTGGTGAATGGAGCGAGACATGATGTCCCAGATGTGCTCAATTGGATTCAGGTCTGGGGAACGGGCAGGCCAGTCCATAGCATCAATGCCTTCGTCTTGCAGGAACTGCTGACACACTCCAGCCACATGAGGCCTAGCATTGTCGTGCATTAGGAGGAACCCAGGGCCAACCGCACCAGCATATGGTTTCACAAGGAGTCTGAGGATCTCATCTCGGTACCTAATGGCAGTCAGGCTACCTCTGGCAAGCACATGGAGGGCTGTGCGGCCCCCTAAAGAAATGCCACCAAACACCATTACTGACCCACTGCCAAACCAGTCATGCTGGAGGATGTTGCAGGCAGCAGAACGTTCTCCATGGCGTCTCCAGACCCTGTGATGTCTGCCACATGTGCTCAGTGTGAACCTGCTTTCATCTGTGAAGAGCACAGGGCGCCAGTGGCAAATTTGCCAATCTTGGTGTTCTCTGGCAAATGCCAAACGTCCTGCACGGTGTTGGACTGTAAGCACAACCCCCACCTGTGGACGTCGACCTCTCATAGCACCATCATGGAGTCTGTTTCTGACCGTTTGAGCAGCCACATGCACATTTGTGGCCCACTGGAGGTCATTTTGCAGTGCTCTGGCAGTGCTCCTCCTGTCCCTCCTTGCACAAAGGCGGAGGTAGCGGTCCTGATGCTGGACTGTTGCCCTCCTATGGCTTCCTCCATGTTTCCTGATGTACTGGCCTGTCTCCTGGTAGCGCCTCCATGCTCTGGACACTATGCTGACAGACACAGCAAGCCTTCTTGCCACAGCTCGCATTGATGTGCCATCCTGGATGAGCTGCACTACCTGAGCCACTTGTGTGGGTTGTAGACTCCGTCTCATGCTACCACTAGAGTGAAAGCACCGCCAGCATTCAAAAGTGACCAAACCATCAGCCGGAAAGCATAGGAACTGAGAAGGAGTCTGTGGTCACCACCTGCAGAACCACTCCTTTATTGGGGATGTCTTGCCTATGCTTTCCACCTGTTGTCTATTCCATTTGCACAACAGCATGTGAAATTGATTGTCAATCAGTGTTGCTACCTAAGTAGACAGTTTGATTTCATAGAAGTGTGATTGACTTGGAGTTACATTGTGTTGTTTAAGTGTTCCCTTTATTTTTTTGAGCAGTGTAAAAAGGAAATGTGAATGTTTTTCACATTCAAGCAGATGTTCTGCTCAACTGCAATGAAATTTTTTTATAAGTTTTATTGATTTTTTGAAGACAAACAAAACATAGGACATCAAAGTGCAAAACCTCCTTTCTAAAAATTACTTATAAGTTTTAACAAGGCAAATAAAACATTATTTTTTAAGGCATAGTTCCACATTATCACATTTCCATTTAAGCACATATATATCTTTTCCAAATTTCTCATTATTTCTCCCTTCACTTTTATTCAATTATATTTCTTTCTATCAAGGTTTTATTAATTCTTAATCAAACATAAACACACAAAATACAAAACATAAAACAAGACATAAAAAGATAAAACCTCCTTAATTATCATTTATAGGTGTCTTTTCCAAATTTCTCTCCCTTTAGTTTTATTCCTCCAAGGTTTTATTAATTCACAATCAAACATAGCTAACCAAAACACAAAACATAAAACATAAAACTTCTTTTGAAAAGTGGCTTAGCCCCGGGTTACATCTTTTTTTACAGACCTAAATCAAATTCATGCTCACCTTATATACCATTCATATCTTATTAACCATTCTATATTTTCTATATAATTTCTCCCTTCTTTTCACTCTCTTAATTATATTTTATTTATTTCATCTTATTTCAAAATCATTATGCTTGTATCTTTTGTCCGTTCTTTTCCAATCATCTATTTATCTCTTCTCTTTAACAATTTTTTTCCCCTGTAATCACTTTTAAAGTGTGATGCCTTTCTATCTTTCCCCTAAAGTAACACTTAAAATAGTACATAATTTCCATCCTGATTCTGCTTAGTACATTCTACATGTTGCATTTTGAAATAAAAGAATAATAAACTTATAATATAGTTGTATATAATTTCCATTCTAGTTCTAATTCTAATTAATACATTATTTTAAAATAAGAAAATGAAACAATAAATTTATAATAACATTAAGACAATAACAAATTAAACTATAACTAAGCATTAATCATTTTACACATTCTCTTTAATATTTTATTAAATATTGAGATCTATCATTATTAAACATGTTAATATTTTAATATTTTAATATTTATTTAATATTTTATTAAATCTTATAATATTCCAATACACTATTTCAAATGCAAATACTACAATACTATCTTATGTACTCTTGCAGAATCTTTATTTAATTATACACTTTCCTTTGTCTCTAAAAAAAAATCTGCTTCTCCAGTCTGGTCTTTTTGCCCCCCCCCCTCTCCTAACCTCCACCTTTTTAGCTTCCCCTCTCTGTTGTAATTCTCTTTTCAATTGCTTTCTAACATTGTACCTTTTTTTCACCTTATTTTTCTTTTTCTTGGTTGTTTTATTAAATCTTAAATTCTCATTTTTCCTTCCTCTCTTCCTATTTTCTTTCTTAATCAAACTTTTTTGTCCATTAAAAATGGCTTCTTCCTTTTCTTCTTCTTCTTCTCCTTCTCCTTCTTCCTCAAGTATTTGCTGGTACGTAGAAACCGCCATTTCTAAAAAGTGGAAGACAACTCCCAAAGAATCCTTGCCATTTTGTTCTCTTTCTTTTAATTTTTCATATTCCATTTTTAGTTCATCCACAGATGGTGCCATTGTAAATTTTTTAAAAACGACCCAGATGTTTTTAATCTTAAAGTATTTTCCAAAAGTCAAAGTTATCAAACACTCCAAACAGACAGAAATTATTTCCTCTTCTTCTCTTTGCAATTTTTCCTCCTGGGGCAAAATCCCAAATATATTTTAAAGCCGTATTACAATTAGTTGCTGGTCTTATAATCTTCAAGGCATCTCTTCCAACAAATTTTTAAAGATTTTTTTTGGTCCTCTCCTTCCCACTTATAACAAAGAGCTTGTTTTTACCTTAAAGAAGCAGGTTTTTCTGTGCTCATTTACTTTCTCCGTAAGGAAGGGGAGTGAACTTTCCTTCAGCACTTTCGCCACTGTAACAATCTTTTGGAAACAAATGTATCAATCCAAAAGTCAAGTTTCCAGGGTGTTTCAAAAGTAACTTAATGTCCCGGTTCAGCCAAGAAAACTTCTCCTTCTGGTTCTTCCTCCTGCACAGTCTTATCCGGTTGAAGATTCCTTTGTGGCTGCCATTTCTGACAGCCGCTCCACCGCCTCAGGAAAAAGGAGTCTAGCCGGCTGGGGAAGGGGGGTGCGATATCCCCAGACCCCTGCCCGCATCTCCTCTGTCTTCCGCTGCCCCTTCGGGGTAGCGACAACCCCCAAATCCAGTTGGATCGGGGGTACCTCAGCGGCGAGCGCAGCAGGGACCCGCAGAGAAGCGGATTCCTGCCGCCGCCGAAGCCTTGCAACCGGAAGTTCCTGCAATGAAAAATTCTTTTACAGATTACAAAGGCTAGAATTTTGAAATTACCCTTCTATAAAGGCAAAATTTGCATGATCTGTTCTCCTGTTTCCTGAATTTAATTGGCCTGTCAGTCCTGTCTTTTCAGGGCTGACTTAATCTTTTTTTCCTCCTTAGGGACCAAGCCTTGAAATTATTTCTCTACCTGAATTCTAATCTGATTTCGTTTCTCTTTTTTGCTCTTCTTTTGCATAGTCATCTTTCAGGGCCATAGCCCTGCTACCTAAGTGGACAGTTTGATTTCACAGAAGTGTGATTGACTTGGAGTTACATTGTGTTGTTTAAATGTTCCCTTTATTTTTTTGAGCAGTGTATATCACTCCATACTTTTCTGTTTCTGCAGCCTATACTTCCTTCCCCCACTTTCAGAAAATGGTTGCCTTTTCTTCAATCCCTTTAAAGGATCTTGTCAACTCCTATTTAATGATTTTTCTTTCACCATGTACACTTTTCAAATGCCTATTTGCACCATGATTTTTTTTGTTCTGCCACGACTATTTTCTTTTACTTCTTTAGAACAAAGTAGGCAGAAGCACATTTTTATATAAAGTCAGAATTCTTTTAAATACTTTCTCAGGGACACTTAGCAAACAATTATCCCATACTTTCCCCCCCTGAAAACTCTTGCTCTCTTTCCTGTTGTATGAAAAACATTAATGTCTTATAATTGTCTTTTGGAAGTTATTCTCTTACTTGTTTAATTTTTCATCCAGAGCCTCTTTCACATCTTTATTCTACCAAGCATTCTTTTTCATATTTCTGTTCAGTAGGACATAGTTTAGTCTACTCCATGCAATTTCAAGGTCTTCTTTCCTTACATTCATTTTTCATTCATTCTGTTGAGGATTTAGTCTGTCTGTCTCTGAATACGTTATTCAAACAGGATTCATACTCTCTGTTCCTGCAGTTATTTTAGTACGAACTCTGTAATATACTGTTCAATATTCAACCTTGATATACATTTTTTTGTATATTTCTGTTCTGTATATTTATGTTTTGTATATTTCTGTTCTGTCCATAGACCAGAAGATTGTGAAATATCATTCCTCCCATTGAAGCATCTACAGCAAGATTCACAAGAAAATGATAGGTAAGTAAACTAGTCAGAGGTTGATGAATGCAAAACTTCATTTTGTCCATAATATTAATTCTGATTAATTTAACTATGAGGGTTCATATCATTTAACTGTTGCTAATGTTCGTTAGATTGCATTCTGCATTCAATGTTTTCCTATAAGGGTCAATTTAATATACCTGAAGAAAATATTAGGGAGTTATGTTTCATTTAGATTTTGCTGTGCTGTAAAGTAGTTTATCATTAGTATATTTTGTCCTAAAACATGAATAAAAAAATAATCATGTTTACTTCAGCAATGAAGTGTACTCTCAAATTATGTGATTAATACAGGATTTAAAGCTTTTCTTTCATAAAGACATTTTTGTTTTCTTCAATTCAGTGTTAGATGTTTATTTTCACAACATGACAAGCAAGCTGTGTTTTATTTATTTATTTATTTTGTCATCCTTTAGTGATTTTTAATTTATTATTATTTTTTAGAAGGAAGGAAGGGAGACTTAAACCAGGTAAGTCTGCAAGTTTAATCACTCATCAAATGTAATTAAGGTTACTTGAAATTAATACACAATATGTTATATTTAGACCGCACAGATGAGTGGCAGAGAATCCAGGGTCACTTCCTGAACGTGAGCATTATGGCAATCCCTTGTCTCTGTTCAGTGGCACCAAGAGGTTTGGCACCTAATACCAGGTCAGTAAGGATTTGTGGAATTAAACTAATGTCCTTAACACCTTTTTTCAGAAGCTTGGCTTTCTCAGATTGCACGCAATCTAGAACTTCAGGGTTGGGAGAGCACGATGAAATTGAACAATGGTTGATTCTGCATCTTTGGGAATTGTAATCAATTTTTGTTCAGGCAGATATGCGGTCATCCATCTAGAATAATCATTGGATAATTATGATGATTAAATTATCTTAGAAGTTTGACTTAAGTGGCAGTCACAAATAATAATCTCCTTTGGGCTTTGTTAATGGGGAAATCTAGATCTTTGGTTTTTGTTGAGGTAATTCCCCGTTAGGAGAATAAGCGCACACAGGGAGACGTAGTGAGAGTGGTGAAGAATAACACACACAGCACACAGCTACACTGTATAGTAAAATGTAGGTTTTTACTTCCAGTAAAACGGTTAAGCAAAGTTCAACAAAACAGTCCAAGTCATTCACGGTTAAAGCAGTCAGTTTTCAGTCCAGGGATAATCCAATAACAAAGTTCAATATCAAAAACAGTTCAGTAACAGACTTACATCAACGATCAGCAACAGTCAATAGGAGGAATGGCAACACTCTCAGCAACAACAGAACAGAACAACCCAGGTTTCTGGCTCCATCTTATGGCCGTTTGAGGAACCATACCCAATTACCATTTTAGCATTCCCTTAAAGAGACAGTATTAAAATGTCTATCCTGGTTTATATATTTTCCAACCCAAATGTTAGGTGACTTACATTCCTAACAGTTTCACTGATTAAATTCAGTTATTGTGAAAGCTAAATATAAGTGCTAAAGAGAAAATCTGCATGCATAAGGAAAAACAAAACGAACTGTCAATGAAAGACTAGAAATTTCATTCCAAGCTTGTTATTTTTAGATCTTTGACATTTGCCAAACGTACTAGTTCAGCTGCTAGATTACTGTGACTCTTGTTAATTTTATGATTCACCAATACCTCAGCAGGTAGGGAGAATCTGTGGCCCTCTGGACTTCACTAAGTATAGCTTTTAGGAACTCCAAATGTCATAATCATAAGGGAAGAAGACTCAAAATCATGAAAACTAATTGAAACCTTCAAAAAATGAAATAAATAGAAGCCTTTTAATGTTTCCACTTTGGAGTTGCAAACCTTAGAGTTGTGTAACTTTGGGTTGTCTAAAAATTGCACCAGCCTTTGAATGTTATGAATGGGGATAACTGGGCAAAGGAAATTGGGATTACACAAAAAGGTTTAAAAATAGGTGAGGGAATATATTTCAATTAATTGTGTACTGAAATATTTTTATTTTATTTATTTATTGAATTTATATGATGCCCATCTCTCAGTTTGAAGAAAATATACCAGTTATGCTTATATAGTTATCTACAGCTCCTCACATCTTTCTGATTCCCTCATAAAAGTATATGGGTAATATTACTACTAATAATTATAAATATTCCATACATTCTGTACACTAACTGGTATTGTTTTGGCTGCAAAATCTGAAAGAATAGGTTCAATTAATACCCTGACAGACAATTTGTGATATCTAAGACCACTCAAAAATTGATAAAATGTGTAATATCAAGATTTCTCACAAATTATAGTTCCTTCTGAATAAATCAGTTTCACACATTTCATTACGATTCTTACTTTTGACAGATGGTATGTGCATTATTTGTGTGTACATATTTATAAAATAATTTGTGTGCATGTATTTATGTATACATACAAATAACGTCACTCGTAATTTGTAACCATCTGGATTTTTAAAAAAATTTCCTAAATATATCATCAACACATTTTCTAAATACATTATCAAACATTTCATCTGGTTTTTAATTATTTTCTTGTGAAATAAATTTTCATATTTTTTCAGAATAAAAAATTGAATGGGAAATAAAAAACAACTAATGTGAAATTGTACTATATATTTTTAACAATACAAATAACTATCCTTACACTGAACCAATTTGGTGTAGTAGTTAAGGTATCAAATTAGAAACTGGATGACTATGAGTTTTAGTCTCATCTTAGGCACAAAGCCCTAAGAAAGAGGCAATGGTAAATCAATTCTGAAAAATCTTGCCTAGAAACCGCAAGGCAGTCTCTGAGAATTGAACACGATTGAACAGATGGAGAAAAAATCTTACTGTTTCTACAAAGTTAAAAAAAATTAAGACCAGACACACTTCTACTTGCATTTTAATTCTTACCAGTCACTGGCTATTGTTCCAATATGCCAATTGTCCAGATAAAAGCTACATCTACAAATATTATCATATACAGATTATATGCGGTTATTTTCTGGAAACATTAAGGTTGATGATATTACACATTGAATATTATTTTACTTTTAAAGGCAGAGATGAATTACTTGGGTTATTAAGATAGATTCCTGATTATACTATATCATCTTCTGATTAATTCATTGTTAATTGCATTATTTAATTCGTGCTTAACTGTATCATTTCTAGATTGGATGATGGAAGCATAGCTCTTATAACTGTAAGGAATACTTCCCGGCAAGAATTCATTAAACATTTGAAAAGATATGCTAGTCTGAAAAACCAGGTAAAGGGTTACTCTTGCATTTGCAAACTGACATTATTTTATTCAAATTTTCTTAGCAGCTGCATTCATCAAAAGTCAGAGAACAAACGATAATGTAATAAAACGATTACATTATCAAACCATTACAAAGATTTAAGGTGGAAGTAAATTCATGATATAAGAGTTTAATGCTTTTCTAAAGAGACTTAAACTTCCTGTCAGAATACATTAGCCTACCTTTTTCTGATTTTGAAAATCACCAGACTAAGGCCGATTAGCCTATTTCTCTCCATCTGTTGCAGTTTTATTATAAATGGTTCTTATATACAGGAGGTACTACAGTACAAATCTGCTAAACTGATTTTTTTAAAAATCCCAAATGCTATATTTAACTATAGACGGTGCTGTATTTGGGGCAAGAGAAGGCTTGTTACTTTTTGTAGATAGTTTTTTATTTTTATTTTCACTTGCACACATTCACAGTTAGTCAAGTCCTAGTGTATAGCTCTTCCTTGAATATGGAAGTGACTAGATAACCATTTTATTTCCTTCCATAGTTTTTTATTTTGATATCTGAACCAAATACAATACTTCAGGTTATCATTCTCACAACAAATTGAAACAGAAGCCTTGATTTGTTCTTGGCTTCTGATTATTGAATTGTTTTATGTAGATAGCTATATTGATGAAAACAAGTTTGAGCTTCCATATTTTTGAAGTTGCTGCTAGTGATAGGAAGAACCAAAAGAGAGACTCTCAGAGATTATGATTTACTACAATCATGTAAACATGTTCCAGATAATTGATACAAAATGTGATAGCAAACACTTCTACCCAGCATTTATTCAACACAGTATATTTGGTTTGGATTTCAGGGGGAGGTGGGAAGAATCTGAACCCATTTTCACAATGGGATGTATCACAGTAGTTGGTTAATAAGTACCAAGGATCATCCCTTTACAGTTTGGGAAATATAGATTAGGATTTATGGGTGTTCAGCATGGTTCACAATAATGACACAATACTATAAGCCTGGTATCCAAGGATGAACTAAGGGTGGTCCAATGCAGAATTAAGCATATACATGTTTTCCTAAGATGTCTTTGGGTGAAATACCATTTAAGTTTTATTTCTTGATTTTACCAATGCTGCAGAATGGTGGCAATCAACAGAAAAAAAACAAATCACATAGCAAAATGTAGAATAATTTTTTAACATTAAAACTTCGTTTTGCAAATTCCATTTCAAAGCCCATTCAGATTTTCTGTAAGAATGCTAAAATGTTCAGAGATATATTCTTTTGTCTTCTAGCATTAGTTTTCCATTCTGTAATGGAAGCAGACATATGACAAACCTTTGCAGATACCAAATTTTTCAACTGTTGTGTTTATGCTTTGTATTTTAGTTCAGCTTTCCTTTTATTGATACTTACATTGTTGAAGAAGTAAAAGTCTGTCCAAGAATTGGAATGAAACATATCCCTGCAGATAATCTAAATTGTATAGGTTCTGAAGAAAATACTTATCCCTGGAACATAGATGGAGATTTAGTGGAATGGGCAACAGAAGTTCATATCCGGTAGGATTACATTTTGTCATGTTTGAACAAGAAGTGTTGGTAATTCCTTTTAGCTTAGCATAAGTTTTGTATGGTAAATTTCCACATTCTACACTGGATAATGAGAAAATTCACATTGAGCCAGTGTTTGGTTCTAATTTCTTGCAGAAGGATATTTTCCCTAAGAAGATCTAGGAGTAATGACAAAGTTGGAGTCTTTAAGTGGCTTGTCCCTCTAAAGTTTCTCAATAATATATTTTTATGTCCACTGATATATGATGGCCTACTTCTCTTCTTGGACCATAGCCAAATCTTACATTTGATGCAAAGACCATCCTGTAAAAAACAGAATCATGCCTATCTCCATCTGACATTTATGTCATATTTGCATATAAGCAGATCCATCCAAATGCAATCTGTAATCTATAGACTTGAATTTTAGAGTTTATGGTTTTTATTGTCTGATACCAGCATATCCACCTGCAAAGTGTACAAGATTAGGCAAGACATTCCGGCATGCCAATCCTTTATGATACACATATTGAAAATGTCAGTTTAGAACTTAATGTCAGGTAACAAATATCTCAGTGCTATTTTCCAATCAATAAGTTTTTTAAATCAAACATTATGTGTTTATGTATATCCTTGCTGGTTGGAAATATATCTGAAGGTAAGTCCATTTAGACTTTATGTATACAGGTAGTCCTTGACTTACGACTGCAATTTAGCCTAACATTTATGTTGCGAAGTGAAACATTTGTTAAGTGAATTTTGCCTCATTTTATGACCTTTCTTGTCATAGTTAAGTGAATCACTGCAGCCGTTAAGTTAGAAACACAGTGGTTAAGTGAATCTGGCTTCTCCACTGACTTTGCTTGTCAGAAGGTTGCAAAAGATCCCATGACCTCAGGACACAGCAATGGTCATAAGTATGATCCATTGCCAAGCAGCTGAATTTGGATGTTGCAAAGGTTGTAACTGTGAAAAACAGTCATAAGTCACTTTTTTCAGTGCTGTTGTAACTTCAAATGGTCACTGAATGAACTGTTGTAAGTCGAGGACCACCTGTACTTGCTGCATTCTGTTTAAAGCCTGTCAAAAAGTTGAGAAATGTGGCTGAAACTAATTTGAGTTACAACTTAAAATAAAAACACATAAAATAACTATCAAATTCTCTGCAACTCAGCAATACATCCATGCTTTGGTGCCATCAGTTCCATTTTCCTCAACTTATTTGTTATACAAATAAATTACACACAAATATTTCCCCAAATTGGACTCCCATTTGTGTGAAGAAGACTATAGTGGAAAGTATTTTTCTTCTATTTTTTTCTATACATCTACAGTATTTCCCCCCCCCCCAAAACATATGAACAAAAAGTACACGTTCATATAAAGCAGTAATGAGATATTTTTTTTTCTGTGTTTCTTGCATTTTCAGGTTATATCCTCAGTTGATTAATCTGTATGGAGGAAATGTTGTTATTTTGGATAATCTGAAAGAATCCTGCAGTTGTATTTAGAAATGATCTATGAAAAAAAGGTTACCTTTCCATCCCAATCATATTTATATGACAAAAATTGCATAAAGAATATGGAAGCTCGGATTATTCAAGTTAATAATATGCAAGATTCAACTCAGAACGAAGTTCAGAGTCATGAGGAAATACCCCCTTTCTTATTGGGACAAATGCTATCACTTTCACCTTCAGGTTGGATTGAGGCATATTTTGTGATTCCTGTTTTGGGTTTTGTATGCAAATCACACACAAATTTTCAGGAATGTTAAATAATTAGGGGAGATTGCCTGTCCAATTTTAGACAAATAATGTAGACTTTGGGGAAGTCAGTTCTTTCAGTTTTAAAATTATTGTGGGTTCGAGTCTGTAACTTGTTTTTGGTATTTATTCCTAACCATTTTTCAGACAGCTAGGTCAAAGTGATGGAAGGAGGAAAAAATTCACTGACTGCCCCCAAGTGGATGGTGTCCTCTGCACAGGGAATGATCTGACTTAAAACATCATGCCCATACTATACCAGGGCTTTTCAAACTATTTCATGGAAATCTAGCAATCCGAAAGAATGTGATGTACCGTAGTTCCACGAGAAACTAAAGCATTGCTGCCCAAATTGGTTGTGTTTTTTTCCCCTTTGGGTAATTACCCATAAACCCATTACTCAATCACATCAGGGACGTTTAAATAAATTAAAAGGATTTAACCTACATTGGGTAAAAAAAAAAACCTTTATGATAAGCAGTTTTGAGGTAATGAAGGGAAGTTTGGAAAGCATTGTACTGAAGGCAAAACAAAAATTCAGTTGAACACAGCCAGTTTTCTATCACTGAGTTTTGCCTCTTGATCAGTTCTAGATTGGGTTCAGGTCTTCTGATAGTTGATTATAACAAATGGATCTATTCCATTAAACTGGGCAGTCACCTGACCCTTTTAGAACATCTTAAAGGATTCCTTTCTAATTCACAAATTAAAGAATGTTTGAGGTGAGTTAATAATATATTACCCTTTTTAAAATTGAAATAGATCTGCATACTACTAACCAAGAATATTTTTCAGTTTGTTCTTTAAAGCAAATACTAAAATACTTAGCTATAAATTGAAATGATTTTATATGAGAAAATAAAAGTTGGCATATCAACTAGACATGTCAACATAGTTTCAATGGTTAATAATTTGGTAGATTTTGGCTGGTTTTTGAAATAGAAATCAGTGTGTTTGTACATTGTGATCTTATATTAAGCCTCTGTTCCTTATCTAATTCATTCGTAAATAAAATCCAGCAAAAGCACATTCTTTGCATTGTTTCGTTTTGTAAAAAGTACATTATTTGGAAGATGACCATATCCTGGAAACATGAGATGTCTTCACTGCATGTTATTTCTCTCTCTCTGTTGTAGTAACTATTAAAATACATACTCTATCTGTGTGCATTACTCTGGGCTACAAAGTCTATTCCCTGCTTGCTGTGTGGTTAGAATTGTCTTCTGTTCAATTGTGCCCAGTTCTTGGACTCTTTCTGGACTGTTTTCTTGGCAAGTTTTTTCAGAAGAGGGTTGTCATTGTCTCCTTCCTAGGGCTGAAAGTGACTGTCCCAAGGTCACCCAGCTGGCTTTGTGTCTAAGGCAGGGCTAGAACCACTACATCAAACTGGCTTTCTGACTAACACAGAGAATTATTAACATCACTGGGGATGTGCAGTATCTTTGAAAGAGGGGTTCCATAATAAATGGGACTGTATTCAATGCACTCTTTAGTGATTAACTCAGCTGCCTCTTTTTCATCCAGCTGCTCCCAGTTGTCTCTGCATAAACATCCATTTCATGCAAAAGAAAAGTAACATGGGATCAGTTTCTGAAATACTTGCCTGCTTTAATAATTTCAAGAAAAGGGTTTCATGCTTGGTTCCATTCACAGGGAAGACTTTCACAGGTTTATTACAGCCCTAGTATTTTATTTAAAATAAACATAAATAACAACATAAATGACTTAGATGAAGGAAGGGAAGGGAACTCATCAAATTTGCACTAAGCTTGCAGGAATACTCAACAATCTAGGAGACAAGCGCAGGTTCCAAAAAGATCTTGACAGACTTGAACAATAGGCTCTATCCAACAAAATGAAATTTAATATGGAGAACAGCAAGGTTTTGCATTTAGGCCAGAAAAACCAAAGGTACAAGTACAGATTAGGTGAAACCTTGGCTCAAAAACAGTAACTGAGTGGGACCTTGGAATCCTAGTGGATGACTTATAGCCAAATAGCCAAAAAAGCTAATATAATTGTTGGTTGTATAAACAGAGGCATAGAATCAAAATCACATGAAGTATTAGTATCACTTTATAAAACCTTAGTAAGGCCACACCTGGAATATTGCATCCAGTTTTGGTCACATTATCAAAAAAGATGTTGAGACTTTGGAAAAAGTACAGAGAAGAGCAACTAGGATGATTAAAGGTCTGGAGACAAAAACATGAAGAATGGTTGCAGGATTTGGGTATGGATAATCTAGAGAAAAGACAGACTAGGAAGGACATGATAGCAGTATTCCAATATTTGAGGAGCTGCCGCAAAGAAGAATGGGTCAACTTATTTTCCAAAGCACCAGCGGACAGGACAAGAAGCAATGGAAATTATAATGGAGAGAAGCAACCTAAAACTCACAAACTTCCTAATGGTGAGAGCAATTAACCAGTGGAACAGCTTGCCTTCAGAAGTTGTAGGTGCTTCATCACTGGAGGTTTTTAAGAGACTGGACAGCCACCTATCTGAAATGGTATAAAGTCTCTTGATCGATCAGGGGATTGGACTAAAAGACCTCAAAGATACCTTCCAGCTCTATCCTGAAATTAAATCATTTATTCAATTTGTATAGCTACCCATCTCATTGTCTGCATGGCAAACAATGATTAAAACACTATTGAAATGAAATACAAACAGAAACCGAGAGATGATATAATCTGTCAGTGTCAACATTACCATACTTGGGATATGAGGCCCAGGCTCATTGCTAGATCTTCAAGGCCTTCCAGAAGGCCAGCAAGATTGGGGGCATCCTAATCTCAGGAGGGGGAGTGTTCCAGAGGACAGGTGCTATGGCAAAAAAGGCACATCTCATGGTGACATTCCTTGGCTGAAAGGACCCAGAACATACCCCTCCTGTTGGATCAGATTGGGCAGAAACAATCGGAGAAGACAGTCCTTCAGTTAAATCTCATGAAGGGCTTTAAAGGTGACAACCAGCACCTTGAATTGCACACAGAAGCATACTAGCAACCATTGCAGTCCCTGAAGCAATGGTGTCATATGTGCCAAATAGCCAACATCATTTACAAACTGTGTTTCTGCATTTTGTATCAGCTGAAGTTCCTCAAGGAGACCTGGAGCACACTGCAGTAGTTCCAGTAGGACTTAATCCCTTTTAAGATGGGAAAAACCATACAAACATTTATTTATGTCTAATGCAGAGGTTTGCAGCCTCTATATGAAAGATTGGTAAGCAAATTACAGTGATAAATTTACATTGTTAACATACAGGGTGTAAGAAAGATTGTCAGAAAATAAGCTGTTCATTTTTAAACAAAAGTGTTCATTTTAAAATAAGTCTTCTTAGGCTTTCCAAAGAGTTAAATGACACATTGTAAATACCAGCCTTCATAAGTAAATGATATAGGGAAAGTCTAATTGCTAATATTTTTGATGTTTGTAAATATTCACTTTAAAAATACTGATGTCACAAAAATTGTACATTTAGGGATGAATTCAAATATCTGCAATTCTTTGACAGCTTCATGTTTCATTTTATTTAATATTTTATTACTTGGTGATTGATCCTTTTTACAGTGTAGGGTTATACAGTGATAAAACATCTTTTTTTAAAAAAATCAGAGTCTTTAATGCTTTAATGCAGGGCTGTCAAATTCCGGCCCATGGGCTGGATGTGTCATGCACTGGCCATGCCCATGCCTGGTTTAATGAAGGGGGGGAAAGTCCCAATACGTCACATGACACTGCCGTGACAACTGATACCATAGGTACAACTGATATCATAGACTGTTTTGTTCAATTAATAATCACCTTGGGGTTAAAGTGCAGTACTTTACCATCTCCTTAAGTCTTATGCTAAACATTCTGAACCTGTATAATGTGTGCAAGAAAGTACATTTGTCTAAAAATTAGGCAAAGATTCTATTTCTTCAAAATACAAAAATAAATAAAATGATTGCATAAGAAGAAGTGGTAACTGCCATTTCCCTGATTTTGCACAATGGGAGGACTTCTTCAACCCAGCCAGGTAGAACCCTCAAAACATGGCTGAGAGTTGCACAACAAAAATCTCATAGACCTTGAGCCCAAAACTCTATTCTATCATTTGGTTTTTCAGTTCAAGATACATAGGAAGAGCTCACAAACCAAGTTAATTTCTTCCTCTCCACTGACCTGACACCCTCATTCTCTGCCAAGGAAGCCTTTTCTCTTAGTAGGGTCCCTACTAATAGTGTGTGCTAATATTCCAGGATTAGTTGCATAGTAAGTCTGAACAAATACAATGGTGAGGACATCCAAAATCGTATGTTGTTCACCTTCCATTAAAAAATTGCCTCTCTTCTTTCATTGAAAAGATCCTACATATAGCCATAGTTGTTCTTGAAATGTATTTTGAATATTAGTAGCTCGAGTTGGTAATTAGGCTGTTGGTTTGAATTCCAAGCTTGGCAATTTGGTTGCAAATGATTTGTCACAATTTGAGGAGACATCGTCAGTGCATTTTTAAATGGACGTTCCCAGTATTTCCAGAGCAAGGTGGAGAAAGTAGAATAAAAATTGTCAGCAGCCACTAAATTTGCAAATCTAAAAAAAAAAAAAAAATGTCACTGGTTTCACTTTAGGAGCTAGAAGGAGGCAGCACAGGTCTACATTGTGTGGAGACTAAAACTGGTCTAATTTAGCATCCTCGTGACACTGCAATGTTTTGGGAAGCAAGGTTATACATTCGCGATTCAAGTATGATTAGTACAATGCTCCTTCTCAAGTCCTTTTTAAAAAGCAAGGAGAAATTCCTAGTGTTTCCTTGTGCTTGCATTTTGAGTTTTTCTTTCCTTTTGATTAGAAGTCTTGAATATGTTTATCCTTCAGTTTTCTATGATTTGTGCTTTTGGAAGCCCGTTTTGATGGCTATTCCTTTCACATATGATATGGGGGCTTAAGACTTCACAGGCCTTGTAGCAGATAGTTCTTAACTTCTACCAAACGTCCTACTCTAAGGTATTATTGTGAATATGTTTAAAAAACTCCAAACTTTCACTTCCATTTCTTTCCTCAGGAAAACGTTTGTATTTTCTTTTGAAGAATCCCACCTGGAATACAGAGTTCCAAAAATAATTACAAAGTTTGCAATTTCAAAGCACTAATATGTATGCATATTTTAGAAAAAGAACATTACCCATTGCTTTAATATACCAAAGTTCAGCTATACTCAAAATACACCCCAAAGTTTAAACATCCTGAATAAAACTTATTTTTTTACATTAAAAAAACCAGACACATTTCATCCAGCAGGAGGATCCCATGAACCAAGTAAAAAGCATTTCCGTCTAATGTTTAAATCTGTATCATTTCCCAAATTGTAAAGTGTTTAAAATGAAACCAGAGCTCTTTATTTGGGAAGTCAGGCAACCTAAAATCTCTTGAGTTATATCTGATTACCAATTTTTCCCATAAATTCCAAAGCCTCATTTCTCCCTCCCCATGTCATCTGTCCAAATTGCTATTGGAATTCTCTGCTCATTTTATGCTGTCAATAACCCCAAATCACGTTAAAGTGTAACAAGCTACATAAAAACCCGAATGCCAATTAGAAATCATAGCAAAAGCTGTGTGTTCTAGAGAACACTGCAGATTTCTGTTAGTGTTTAGAAAAGTAATTTTTTTCCCTTTTGGATGGATATCTAGCCAGACCATTAAAATGCACCAGTGTGTAGATTAATGCTGAAATACATACCTTCCATAAAAATAATACAAGAAGCAAAAGCAAAGTAATTCCAAATAGGGAACCTATTGCAATAAGCAGAACGCTGACACTATGTTTTGTCTTCTGGTTATGACGTCCCTCCAAAATGACCTGTAGAAAGTAAAACACACAGTTACTGCAGGTAGAAACACGTATTTGGAATAGGAGGACTTCGTTTCACTTCTCACAGAAGTACAGTTTGATTTTGAGCTGGGACTTGTTTACCTTCAAGGTAGATATATAAAAGAGCTCTCACAGAAGTCAAATGCCACTGATTTCAAAGACATGCTTTAATTCTGATTACAGCATAATTTCTGATGAAATAATCATGCAATAAAATATGTTTATGGCACTGCAAATGAGGCTTTCTTGCAAATAGATGTAAACAATCTAATGTGCTTTTTCACAACAGCCCTTGGTTTAGATGTAGCAGAATAGGCATTGGGTGCTGAAATAATACAAGAACTAATACCAAATGAATGCTAAATCATGCCTTGGGTTAGAAAATAATTTCAAGCAGGTCTGGGTTAATACTCAAGTTGTCCAGTGTTTCCTTCACTATCTGACTCTCAAATAATACTTACATGAGTGGTTTGCTTATTTTTGTGGAGTTCAATAACTTTGGGATTTTGATCTGCTGAAACTTCTCCCTTTATCTCAAAGGTAAGCACTGAAGCTTCATCCTATTTTTAAGAAGTAAAAAAAAAACATTTTAAATCAACTGCTTTGTAAGGGTTCAAATAAAAAAGTATATGAAATAGTAAGTGAGGCTAAGGAGGTAAGATAGAGAGTCAATATAGGACTAAACCTACTCAAAATTAAATGCTCTTCAACATTCAGAGAAAGATTATTAAGCAACTACTTAATCTATTGAATATTAAGCAGCTTAACCTATTGAAATATGACATTTTCTTTGTGGTTCTCTTACATTTAAAGAATATGATTACACAGCCTTCAGTATGGTAGCATAAAGATTAAAATATTTACTATGCTTAATAGTGAAGGTGTTGCCTCAAGATGCACATGAACAGTTGATTCCTTTCCACTCTCCATGTCTCCAAATTTGCAAAATATTTGCCAACACAGTTTATCATTCTTCATGCAAAACTTTAGGAGAAAAAATATAAAAATTAGTATACAGTGTAAAGTGAGTGCAGCACATAAATATATATGAACAATGGAGCATAAATACGTTTGTACCTCAACTGGAATATATAATTAAAATTTTGACTCCAGGCTTCCTCAAATTAGAAAAGAATATGGGATTCATTGCTTATCCCATGAATCACATTAGTTCATAAGCAATAGCTAACATAGGCACATTTACATGTGCCCTTAAATCCAGCTTGAAGATTTTTGAATAACTCTTTTTGAAGGAGATGCTTCTGCATGATGCAAATTTTCAGTCAATTCCAGCCCACATTTGAGACCAGTTTACTTCAGGTTTTTCTGAAGCTCAGGTCCTTCTTTTGAACCTGAATTTTAAGATGGTTGGCCATGTGTTTCCAACAAGTTTTGCTATGTGCATGTCATGCTTTGGCAGTGGTTGAGATGAAGATACAACATGGTGTGATCTTCCCAGCAATTATTGTTTGCTTTTAGCTAGTGCAGACATCCCTGCCCCTCTATACAGTAGTAGCTGACAGACAATTGTACAATGGGTAGAATATGATTTTTTTGAAGTCCAATTTACTCCTTCCTCAATCCCCCACCTAACCTGTTGGCAGATTGCATGAAATGGCAGGTGGCTGAAGCCAATGCTATCTCCACTACTGCCAGCCTTATGAGATATACCAGAAGGGAACCATCACCGGGTGATCTAATTCTACTTTATTATAAGGTTATTTTAACATAACCTTGCTTCTCTCCCCCTATCTGCTTTATAGCCCCCAAATTAGGGAGGGTCTTTTCTAAGCCTCACATATTCCTGCTGTGGGATAAGCTGACTTTTATATGACTGTTCCATTGGCTGAGTCTTATTGCCCTGTCTTCCAAGGTCATCCCTACGTACCATTACAGCTATCTACCAAAAGACAGGGATTTGGGGTCAGAAGGACGGGCAAGGAGCAATTGCTCCTGCTTTGGTGTGTTGCATGAGTAATCTAGGAATTTAACATCATGGTTCGCTCCAATTCATGAACTGAAACAAGTGCTCTAAGAAGTTGACAGGGCACTGCCTCACATTTCGCATGCTACCCGACAGCTCTCCCCATAGATACTTTGTTTTGTTGCAAATGTTACCCTAATGCAGGGGTGTCAAACTCGCATCATCATGATGGCATCATGTGACATAGGGCGGCTTTTCCCGCCTTTGCTAAACCAGGTGTAGGCGTGGCCAGCATGTGATGCATCCAGCCCGTGGGCCGTGAGTTTGATAACCCTGCCCTAACAGTTGTGATTGGGTGACTGGTGGATGCAAGAGACCCAGACCCTGATAGAGGCTTCTTCCCAGTAAAGCAGAGCTCTCCCTTTCAGCTGGTCAGGCTCTGACAAACTCAGCATTATAACCTTTGCAACAAGGAGAGCAATAGGTAGCTGCTGTTTTCCCTGGGCAGGTAAACCTATCCACCCAGCACATTGTTTCTTAGGACAGAACCACTGAGACAGAGATGGTATTGTTTGTGTAGACAGAATGTGTGTTTTGCTGAGCTACCTTCTGCCAACTCCTGTCTGGAAGAAAACAAGTTAATCTGGCTTTCTGAAAAAGCCTCACATGTAAGCATTAGATGGCGTAAAGCCTTGATAGTAATGTATTTCTAATTCATGTCAGGAAAGACCTTTAGAAGGCAGCACTGGTTATCACTTGTCAGCTGTTTTGAATATGAGCCTTTAAGCTTTCAAATTTTAACAATAATGAAGCCTCAGCAAGGGTTACTGTCCTTTTCCTTAAGCCTTTATAAGTTTGTTTCCAACTGTTGAATTCCTAACAGAACCAGTTTATGTCTTTTGGTAAATAAATGCCCCTGTGTGTAATGTGACTTGTTCCCATATAGCTTAACACTGAAATGAGGCATAAATTACGTTAGCATAATCAAGCTGCTCTGTGATTCTGAAAATTCTGCTTATAAGGCAGAAATATTCAATAGGACAATATTACAGCTTTAACAAATCAGTAAAAAAAAAAAAAAACAGTGAAATTTACCAGTGGCCTATTGTCAAGTTTTGTGAGGAATGTAATAAGATCTTGCACCATATTTCCTTGTTCTTCTGGTAAAATACAGTCTCTCCTATGATTTTCATAGGTACATTGTCCATCAGTAGTCTGCAAACGAGCAAAATCATAATTGTCTTACATTTTGATACCAAAGACATTTGTAAACATTGCATATAACAACATAAACGAATCAGCTCAGTAAAAAATTACCATTTTAATAAAACATTCCTAAATTAAAATAAAACAAATTCATGTAATACTGGGAAGAACAAGCTTATAGCTAAGCTTTAATAGTACCTAAATTTGACCCATTCTTTAATTCATGTCTTTAAATATCTTGGGACATGAGTGAAGAAAAGGGGATATAGTTTTATAAAGACAGCTGTTTTATATTTTTATTATTAAATTTATTTGCTGTCCATCTCACAATTTGAAGTGAGCTAAGACAACTGCAACCCTTTGCAAGATTTCCTAAGGCATATCATAGGATAGGAAAGCATACAATGATTACAAACACAATTCATAAGGACTCATAGCGCCTGTAACATGTCTTCATGCCCATATTGAAAAAAGATATACAGGAAAAAACCTTACATATTCTATGACCGATTGTATTTTCTTCTGCATTTTATTGTTGATGCAGCATCATGGAGTCTTTTCTCCTAATATGAGCCATGAGAAAAGCTTCAAATTCCAAATATACTGTTCTGAGTTGTAACAGCTGTGTCACTTGTGCTGAGAATATTTTGAGTGTGAAACCATTGCCTTGACCTCAGAACACTTCCAAAGTGACTGAAACAATGCAAACCAGCTGTTTTGAACTCAAAACGACGATTTGGAACTTAACCCGGGTTTGAAAAGTTTTGAACCTCCCTACCTAACCCTCTTTCCCTTTCTATGGAAGTTGTGCAAAAGTAAATTATTTATTACTTCCGTATTAAAATTATATGTTGTTCTTGAACAGGGCAGCTCAAAGGCAAGATGCCAATTACACTGTAAATCCACATCAGGGAACCACAAACATTTCAGGCTGGTAGCATCAATCTTGAGGCAAACGCCTTCTCAGGAACATCTGAGATGGGATGTGTGTCAAAATCTGCAAGATGACAGGTCATGAGACCAGACCTGTTCTTTTTGTACATTTTTGTGACCTTGAGGCATGTACAAAGGAAATGGGTCTTGCATCATACCCGCTATTTTGTAGATTGTGATCCTTTGTGTTGAAATTCAATTATTCATCTATTTATATATTTTCATAGTATTTTCTGATGATGTTTTCTGCAGGCAAAGCAACTCATCAATAAACAAAGATCCGTAAGCCTCCCCTTTGCCTATCTTAATCTGTTGTAACATACCCCTATGCTGCTTTACACCTTTTTCCACCAATGGCACTGCTGGTTTGTTCTTCCTCTTAAATCATAAACATCAAAAATAGCATATCACAATCGTTCATAAAGCTTGCAGATCTATGTAGGAAGCTAACAATTGCATAATTTGTTATGCTATATCGCATTTCATGTTCCAAATCCAGAAAATAAATCAAACATACCTTGACATCAAGTATATTAAACAGCTTGGTATCTCTTGGTAGAAAAGAATTGGGTATCTGTATCAGCAGATTTACATCAGGAGCCAGACTTACTCCAGGATTACTAACCTTTGGTGTATAGAAGGCCAGAGTTGAATTAGTATTTTATCTGAATTGGTGTCAGAATTATTGCAGCCTATCACCTTCCTCCAGTCAAAGCTTAAAACAATTGGAATTTAAAAAACCTTCATCTGCAAGCATTGAATTCTGAACATATAGTTCCTGATGCTCCACTATACTGCAAGCTAAAGCATCTGTATATATTTTAACATTTGTAGATTAGTACTTAGAATAACTTTATTGTCACTTTGAATGTACGCTAATCAGCATGCTTTAAAATGAAATTCAGCTATCAAAGGGTCACCACCTCCAATGTACACTACATAAACATGACAAAATAAATAAATACAAAAGTATGCATATAGTCATATACCCACATACATTATATCACACAGAGAAAAAGATCTGTGTCCAAGGCATACTTAAGGTAGACAAAATGGCAATAAAGGATATTGCAAGACCACAGGAAAAGCATAATTAAATAATTAAAATGATGGTAGAAGAGACAAAAATAGCTCTTATTTGCCATTCCTCCAGCAAGAAACTCTTTTTGAAACAATGAATATATGGAGCAAAAAATAAACACCGATTTTTGAAAGGGAACATTTACATTATAATAAACGCAGCAATTCACAATAGCACTTATATTTCAAAAACTGAGATGACTTCCTTCATTGTGAAAAAAGAGTAGCTGTGACATAATGGGTAAAATTAAATCAATAACTTCAAACTTGGCAAGTTTAAGACTTGTGGACTTCAACTCCCAGAATTCCTGAGCTAACATGACTGGAGGAGGAATTCTGGGAGTTGAAGTCCACAAGTCTTAAAGCTGTCAAGTTTGAAGACCCCAGAATTAAATGAATAGTGCTCAGAGAGTGATCAATGTGGACAGAGCTTCAGTGGATAAGAAAGCAGCTTTGTAGAAAGTTAAATGTTGGACTCAGATTGGGAAGACCTAGATTCAAATCTACCTCAGTTAAGAGAAAGCATGTTTTGTTTTGTTTTAAAAACTAATTTCATTTAATTTCCAAAAGGCAATGAAAGTAGAGAATAATGTTCATACATAGAAAGTGACGTTGATTGTCTCCTCCATGCAAGAAATTGGTGAATTTTCTTCACTGGGCCCATAAATAAACGATGCTGGAGACACAGACCTACAAACAATGTTTTTTTCAAAATAAATAACAGAGAAAATATTGATTAAAGTGGAATCATATGATAATTTCTTTGAAAACTTAGTTACAGTACATCCAATTAAACTCCCATAATTTTCATTGCTGTCCTTCCTCCTGCTTTCCTATGTGGCCTCTAAACTTGAAGGTGACCTTCCAAATAAGTTGTAAGATGTACAGGAGGGAGTAGAGGTAAAGATGAGATAGAAGTCTCATCTGCAGGGATTGACTGTCCTGGTAGATATCCAGCTTGCTTTTGAGTATCAAAAAAGAACTCATCTATTTTGGTATGACTGTTCTACCTACAATACCGTATTTATCTCTGCAAGATTTGCAACAAGAATATTTTCCAGCCTTCTCTGAAGAAGGCAGGTACCTTTTAAATTGCAAACTCTACCAAATGTATGGCACCTTTTTTTAAAAAAAATGCTGGTATCCCTTCCTATTCCTTGAATTTTACACCGTCATCCATATTCCTATATGTGCGTTTAATCTCAAATAAATATATATTTACAATTAAATTAAATACATATTATAAATGCAGGTTTCAAAACTTTTCCATTTATTAAAAAGCTGTATGAGGATCAAGAGCTACTATGCACCTTTAATATCTTTTTCAGAAATTGAGGCTTTTGTAGGTCAAATAAATCTCAACTATCCATCTTTATAAGTCATAAGGACAACATTAAGCCTCTATAAGGTTGAAAGCCCAAAAACTGAATTTACCTGGTTATCCTGTTAAAACAGCATTTGTGAAGCTTTCATACTGCCTTTCCATAAAAATGAGCTAAGGCTGAGCAGTTAAAAGAGCACACAAGAACATCCACAGGCTCAAAATCATGAGAAATCATGCAACAACTCTATACACATTTCCAAATCATTTTGCTTACCCATGAATGTTCAGTTCGACTTCGTGTTTCTGAGCCAAAGCTAAAACTACATTGTTATCGGACAGCAGGTCAGGATCTAATTCATTTTCACTACAGAAGGAAAGAAATGCATCACAATGTTTACTGACATCCCCGAGTACTGTTTGGTTTTCTTTCTTGAATAGTACATTTGGCAATAGATAGCATGATCAAATGCCAGCAAGCACACTTTCTATCATTTTGGTACGAGAGTTTTGCCCATTTGAGGAATGTATCCATACCGTATTTTTCCAACCCCCAAAAGAAATATTGTTCCCCCATTACATTAGATTTCTGTGAAATTTCTGCAAATTATGAAATGTATTTTTTCTGCAGTTCATTTTTTTTCAAATATAGGTCTAAGATAACAACCTGTAGTAAGCAATGCTTACCAAGTTGCATTAATGCTGATATGCAAGTCATCATCTGCTCTGCTGAGTGAACTTGAATCCAACACAAAGCTAATGTCCACCTGAAAAAATGAATTTTTACAGCTTGCATTAATCAATCTGTATTCTATCAGAATGCATAATAGACACTGCATTCAGTAAATTAGCTGTAATTATACTATTGAAGTCTATAACTATTCACTTATCAAGGCAGCGTTAACAATCAATACATTCTCAACATGCAGATCTTTGACTTAGCCTAATTTTACTACTAAGCACCATAGGAATCCTGTTTATACATATGTACCCCTGACCCTGTTTCATGACTAGCCATGCTCCATTTTCATGGTTTCCAAACATTTCATTGAACTGAACATGTAAACAATTACAGCAAATAAGCTCCAAAATGTCACCGTATCTCATACTATTGTTCTCATACCTAAGGAATGCTTGAGATTGACATTTTAATCTGATCTACTTTTAGTCTTTTAACCAATTATTAGAGATATTAGAAAATGCATATGGACACCATCTTTTGTTTAATAATAATAATAATAATAATAATAATAATAATAATAATAATAATA